AACTACATCTGTCTCTTTACTGTTGAATCCCTAGCTCAGTGAACAGTTTCTGGCAATGAATGATTTTTCTGAGAAAAGGAATCATGTGTGTGAATAACACTATGTAAATTTCTAAATCTTGGTTCTGTTACTTACTGGCTCTTTGTCCTTGAGAAAAATACTTAACCTCTCTGGGCCTGTTTCTTCAACGATTCCTACCCACAGCTTTGAAGGTCAAATGAAAAGGTAGACTTGTGAGGGTTCGACTTGACAATGACATCACAGCGATGACATTGGCTTCCTGCCCAGAGGGACAGTCATACCCAGCCTTTGCTAGTTCTGGGAGGGGATGCACTTACCTTCAGTAGCCGGGGCCACTGGGTGGCATCACCCAGCTTGGAGCTGCAGAGCATTTGCACCTCATAGGACTGGCCTGGGAGAGATTAAGGGGATGTGTGAGCCCCACTCTTGGAGCAGAGATGGTACCTACCACACCAGCCCACCCTGGGTCCGGTATCCAGAGCTTGCCACCCCACTAACCCCTCACTTCCCAGGCCCAGCATACCCTGGTTCAGGTAGGTGAGGGCTTCCTCCTGCTGCTTCACAGCTGGCGAGGTGGCTGCACAGAGCACATACTGGAATGCGAGGCAGGGAGGCTCCTCTCTGGGGATGCTGGGCAACTCCTCCTGCTTCAGGTAGGGCAAGGGCAGGGACTCCCTGCCAGGGAGAGGAGAGCACTGCCAGCTTGCTGCTCTATGGGACTTTGACTCTCCCTGTCAGGTCCTCCCTCCAGGGAGCCTCCAGTTTCCTATAGCAGGCACCCCAGCAGCAACCAGGACCTAAGGGGCTCTCATCCAGCTCCTCTGGCCTCTGGGACACTTCCCTTAAAGTGCACATCCCAGATACTACCAAATACTTACAAATATCTGCCATAGATTACCTGTTTGTAACCTCAGGGCTTGCCTAATACCAAGTCAATGTCCAACAAAAGCGTCCTGAGTGGGTGATGGTCAGGGTATTTTGAGATGTCCCAGGACCCAGTAAGCTCCAGGTACATTTGACCTCTTCCCCACCTCCAAAGGAACCCAAGAACAGGAAGCCCATCCCCTTCAGCTTGAAACAGATGGTCCTATCACATCCACCACAAGTCAGACCAGTGCCTTCCTCGGGGGCCAAGGGAAGGGCATCTGGCCCTTACCTGAGCAAGCTGCTTGTAGGCCCAGGGTACAGTTCCCCTGGACTAGGCCACAGGTGCTCTGGCTGGTTGTGCCAAAACAGCATCTTGGAAGGGACCAGGGCCAGCTCTGTGACAGAGAGTTCAGCACTGAGTTGGGCTGAACCCATTGGGCCAACCGCCTAGGGCCTCAGCCTTTATACACAGACACAAACCCACTAAAGGGTGGTGTGAGGCCTGGAGACTCTGATTGGCTGAGCATTCAGGGCTCTGGGAAACTTAAGGCCTATTTGGCAGACCAAGCTGGGGGAAATCCAGAAACAGTCCCCAGAGCTCCCCAGCATCATCATCTTGAAGGGGAGATGGTGGTGTGGCAAAACAAAGTCCACTCACCCACCATTCTCCGAGAGGCCCAGGACAACGAGGGGCACCCTCAGGCTTCACGCTTGACTCCAGATCTGTAAGTCATGCAGAATCCTGGAGACCCCTGTGTCTGGACCCTCACATGACCCCATGGGAGGAGCGTAGCCACTCCTGGGAACAGGACAAGCAGATACACAACATTACATGGACCTACAAAGGGTCTTTGCTCTCTGATGGTCTCCCATTCCTCCTCCCCCACCCCTACACACAGGTGCACTATGACAGGACACCAGTCCTTTCACTGGGGGCTGCCTTGCTAGGGGACCGGAGTTTACAGAACACAGTCCAGCTTGCTGTGGAAACAACTCCGGGGATGGTGCTGGGAGGAAGAGCCTGCCTGTGGGGAGGAGGGGGCCGTGCTTGGGGGTGACCCCTCCCAGGGCAGTAGAAGGAGAGAAGCTCCAGTAGGGCTGGTTCCTTTGTCCCTCCTCTGCCCTAGGGTACAGGACAGAATGTGTTTATGGACGAATACAGTCTGCCTGGGGGAAGGCTTCCTTCCTCAGGCTCAGCTCCTTTTGTCACTGTACACAGACAGCCCCAGACCCCCTCGGTCCAGCCCAACTACTGTGTTCGGTATAAACAGATGAGGGCCTTGCAGAGAGCAGAGAGACAGGGCTCTGAACATGGGCTGACCTCATGTGACCCTAGCTATCTAGGCTCGTGATTCTGAGGGGCCCACCTAGGGGAGAAGGAAAACCAAAGAGTACCCCCTAACACCAGGCAGGGCACCTCCATCTCCAGGTACCTGGCCCTTGACCCTGTATCTGCTTTCTCTTCCCATCAAACCAAACAAAATGGAAAAAGGAGAAAAAGGGGCTGGGAACATTGGCCAAAGATCCCACGATAAGATACCCAAGATTTTGAGAACCACCCATTGCCCAAAGCTGGATTCAAGGCCCATGGAGCCGTCCAAGGTTGGAAAGAGCAGGGGAAGGGGACTAGGATTACCTTTTGCATGCTTTAGAAGGAGGGTCTGAAAGGGTGGTCAGGTATTAGAAGGAGGGGTGTCAAAGGGGCTTTTCGAAGGTGTATTAACCTAGATGTATAGAAACAATGAACAGGATTTGCTTAGGGCAAAAACAAAAGCTTTTTGTAAAGAAGGTATAGGCCTGGGGCGTGACTACCCACCCTGACCTACCTGCCCAGTTACATATGCCCAGGATTTATAATCAGATCACCCTGCCAGGTTACTTTCTATAGAACCCAGTGGGTTCTCTATCTACAATGGGGAGCAGGGTATGGGAGTGGTGGTGGGGCAGAGAAGATAAGCAGGCAGGTAGAGGGAGAGAAGTGAAGGCTGTTATGGGCCCCCTTCGAGGACATCCCCAGGAGCTGGTCCTGGGAGTGGGACTCCAATCCAGCACCCAGTCTCCCACCCTCCGTCTCCAAAGCTGTCTGTATCCTCCCCCTTTCCTCCCCTGAATTCCATCTCTCTCCTACTGGCTGCTACTCCCACCTTCCACCCATCTCAGAGTATCTACACTTCTGTCCCCATCCATGTGTTCCTGGGCCTGTTCCTGGTTTTCCATGGCTCTCTGTCTAAGCAAAAAAGCCTGGCTTGAAGCAGAAGGAGGCTGGCCACTCATAGCCCCACCGCCCCACTCTTTCGCTGAGTCCCCCAGATCTGTTTCAAGCTAAGGGAGATGGGCTTCCTGCTCTTGAGTTTCTTTAAGGGTGGGAAAGAGGTCAAAGGTACCTGGAGCTTAGTGGGTCCTGGGACACCTCAAAACACCCTGACCATCACCCGCTCAGGACACTTTTGTTGGGCATTGACTTGGTATCTGGCAAGCCGTGAGATTGCAAACAAGTAATTGACCCAGAGAGGCCTTAGGAAACTTCAGTCCAGGACCCTCACTCTCAGAGCTGAGTCTCAGGCCTGGAGGGTGTGAGGCCCCCACAAGGTAGGGGCATGGGCCAGACTCTACCTTTCTGAATCTGCTCACCTTATCAGCAAAATGAGAGCAAGTCTTCCTTTTCACCCAGTATGGCAGCGAGGATTAAAGGAAAATCTGTGGTGCTGTCATCTTTTTTCCAGGGTTTAATGCCCAAGAGCTCCTCCCTGGGGTAGCAGGGGACACCACCAAGGACACCAGCATCCCCACCAGAGCCCAGTCCTAGGGGGTACAGATATGACTGTTCCAGAAACTTGCCCATACACAGATCATTTCAGGGACAATTTTTGGGGTGCAATTTTTTAAATGAATTTTTTCCCACCCAAAATGCTCTATCATTTTGAAAGCCATGGCATAACTCATCTTAATAATATCCTTTCAGGTTCCCTAAGCCAAGGAAGTAACTTTTTATCTGTAAAATTTTCTGAGAAACAATTCAGCAACCTCCTTTAACCAAATGTTTTGTTTTGTTTTCTATCCCAAGGCAATATTCCAACCTGGGGAGTTTGAGACTGAGGGGCCAACCCCTCCCTCAAAGAAAGAGAGGCCGAAAGGAGGGGTTCCTCATTCATTCATTCACTCACTCATTCATTCATTTGACAAAATGTTATTGAGTGCCTACTATTACCAGGCTTGCTTGTGCGCAATCGCACACTTGCTCTTGCTCTTCCTCTCTCTCTCTCTCTCTCTCTCTCTCTCATAGTCTCTCATAATCTCTCTCTCACTCTCTCTCTCTCTCTCTCTCTGTCTGTCTCTCTCTTCCTCACACTAGTGTGTGGGACCTGGGGCAGTGCCCCTGGGTGGGTGGAATCCCGCCTATCCAGGATTCAGGCACTCCCTGCTACTGTCACATTGGTGGTCCGAAGGCCTGGGCCCTGAGTTGCAGGTAAAATGATTTTAAAAAGGAACGGATGAGAGCATGATTTTTCAGACATTGTGTTCACAAACGCAAGCACACACACCAGAAGCTGACAGTACTACATGGCAGTCCTTGTGTGGTCTGTGCGTCTGTGCACACAAATTCCCTCACCCCAGGAGGTGGACCCTCCTCCCAGCAAAATGTCTCTGAGGACACTGGGTTCCCAGCTCCACAGGGCACCACACTAAACAGTGCCCCCTAGAGTCAGTCGACGCATAGGCCTGGCTCTAAGCTCCCAGTCTTTTATTCCTGAGAGTCCCTCTCAACCACCAGTAAGTCTCACCTTGGAAAGGTACCCTCTGTTCACTCTTCGAGTTTACCGCCCGCTTCTTAACACTTCCTGCAACCTAGCGAGTTAACGCTTATGTTCTCGTGTCCTGTCTCTGCCCTTCACCAAATACCTTCAGAGCAGTCATCCGATATGCAGTTTATTCTTTGTGTACTTTGTCTAATGTTTTTTTCCCATCAGAGGGGAAGCCCCTTGAGGGTAGGGACTAAGAAAGGTGCGCTAGTGGTGGGCTTAAGAGTATGTTTGCTCAGATAGACTGAGTTCAAGCTTAGCTGTGTGTCTTTGGGCAAGTCACTTAACCTTTCATGCTGCAACTATAAAAAAATAGATAACAAGAGCCTCTACTCCATAAGGCTAGTGTGAAAATTGAATGAGATAATAATTGAGCTCTCAGTAAATGTTGGTGTCTTTTTACTATGTATCCCCAGTGCCTAGTACACCATAGGTTTATTTATTTAACACTTAAAAGTATAGGTTTATTTCTATACCACTTATAAGTATAGAGGGTCTGTTTATCAAATAAACAGTTCTTCAGTGCTCAGTAAGACTTCAAAGTGCTTTCAAACAGTCTACCTTCTGAGAAAGATGCTATTTTTTTCTATTATTCTATTACCATCACCCCCATTATACAGACGGGGACACTGAGGCTCAAATTGGTTAAGTAGCTATCTCAAAGTCACACAGCTAAGATGAGACAGAGCCAGGGTTTGAAATTAGACAATCTGGGTCACCGTCCCTGTTCTTAAATCACTGTATTATGTCCCGCTCTGACTGATAAATTTAGTGTGGAATTTAAAAATGAATTTCCAGGCAATATTCCAACCTGGAGACTTGGAGAATGAGGTCTACCTCTCCCCCAAAGAAAGAAGGGCTGATGGGGGAAGCTTTCCTCATTCATGCATTCATTCATTTATTCATTCAACAACTCCCAAAGAAGTATCAGACCCAGGAATCTGATTCCAATGATGGCAGTGACCTTGGGACTTTCTGAGCTTTGGCCTTTCCAGCCGCAAAGTGGGGACAAAATGCTTTTTGTCCCACTCCTGGGCTGTGAGCCCTGAGAATGAGTAATTCGAATGATATGAGTAATATGAATGCTGCAGTTTTGATAGTTGGGAGGGGGGCTAATGATGGGGTGGCAGGGGCAGGAAACAGATGTAGTCTCATCATGAGAGGGGTTCTACTTGACCTGGGAATTCCCTTGAGATGAGCAGCACATGGAGGGAAAGGCATTATGGGCACCGGAAGCAGCTTGACCAGAGGATTTAGAGTTGTACAATCTGAGTGGAGGAGGCCCAGTCCCACTGCACGTTACAACTACCCTGTGAGGTAAGATGGTTCTCATTTACAGAGTCAGAAGCAGAGGGATGCACCTCGTCTCGGGTTATAGCTAGTGAGAAGTGGGCTGGGACCCGAGTTACCTCACGGCTCTGCACACCTGTCATCCACCCAGGCCAAGATATAGGACTATCCTGTCCTTCCCCACAATGAAACCTTTGCCCAGAGAACCCCAAGAACCCACCACTCCAGCTCTCTTTCCATTTTGCTGTCCTTGGGAGTCAGAGGGATTCCCCTATGACACAG